TTATTAAATTGCTTCAGGGGCCACATTTACTGCAGGCCAACAGCTGAGGGGCCGAACATCCAGCAATTAAAGTTATAAACCAAGTATTACAAAGATCTGTTACCTTTGAAATAGTTAATTTTGCTCCATTTAATACAACATACAAAACCCTATAAAAGTCGTGATAATTAAATAATATAAAAAACAAAAAGAACAAGTTATGCCTCATATTTAACACAAATATTATTTTAGCATCTCTGACTTGCCAAATTTTTTAACCAATTTTATTTTCACTTTCAGTTTTATCTTTAACAGCTTGTAATTTTAACTGTCTTGAGTGTGCTTGAGATTCTGATGTTTCTGTAGATACCAAACATGTCTATGTTTAACTAAAATAACTTATAGTAATTAAAGTAGAAAACCGAGGGTTTGGGCTTAGGAGATAAATGAATCAATTGGCGGACCAAACTTTGGTCACTCGCGGGCCGGATGTGGCCCGCGGGCCGCCAGTTCTATGGCCCTGCTTTAAAGGAAACAGAGTAAGTAAGTAAGTAATTGAACAGAATATTAAATTAGAGTACGATTTTTTTCTAATAAACTATTTTAAAGGAGTTGACAAAAATATTATATTTATCAAATTATTCTGCATTGTTTTCTGTTAATGATAACAACGAACAGATGCGGCTTTAAATGTATTCAACTCAAATCTTTGCTCTTGCATATTGGTCTATTTAGTTGATGCATTGTGTTTTATGTGATTTTATGAACTAAATGTTATTCATTGTGATTTATATTTATAGTAGAGATGGCAGACACTGTGTAAAAAATCTCTTACAAAAACACCATTCGTACTGAGAACTGCCTTCATTTGAAAACAGTCAACCCCCTCATTGGCTCTGTTTTATTTGCAGCCTGAGCTGAGATGTCATCTCGCTCTCATTTACACTTTTCTACCACCAGACTGTCATCCAAATGCCGCTCCCTTGTGGTTTTGTTTATTCTTTCCGTCGCTAAAACTATAATCGTCTTTGACTTTTCAGGAGACTTCACCTTTAGCTGCTTCATTTTTCAGTTTCTCCTAATCATTAGCTTGATGAGTGCACACGAAGGGCGGGGAAAAAAAACAAAAAACTGAGCTCCTGCCAATAAATCCATTACTCTAACATGTTAAATGGCCGAAGTCTCCGAGCAAACGGTGCCCAGAAATATGCAGCTGTCCTGCAGCCAAAACAATCTTTCTGCATCATTACGTTTGAACTTTGCTGCCTGTGATGTCAGCTTTTCGCCCAAAAGCCATAAGAAAACTGAATGGTGTCACTTTTTCCTAAGTCTTTTTACCCTTTTTTTTTTTTGTATATAAAACCTCAAGTAAAAACAGAGTGGTGTGAAAAACTCAGAGCAGATTATTTCATGTTTACCGTATGTTTTCCCTTTGAATAATACAAACCTTAATATTTTTATTGATAAAGTGATATAAGTCGTGCTTCCACTGTGTTTATCTTGCAAATGGAAGAAAAATCCAAAGATTTTTCACGCTAACTAAATATGGGCTCCTCACAGATGCTGCGCACACCTCTATTTAAATATTTAGTGTATTCGCTAACAGCTTCACACCAGATGCTCTCGTGTGATGAAGGGTGAAAAATGCAAAATGGGATGAAGGGGATGAAAAAATGACTCTGAGCTTCACTGTAATGTCTGCTCATCCTTTTTAATTTGCCTGCTAAATGAAGAAAAATGTTAGGCTATCATTTTTTTGTTTTGTTTTTTTGGTTAAAAGAAATAATTTGAATTGTTGGGTAAACATATATAATTTTTTTGTGTTACAGAACATATTTGCCTGTCATGACTACGATAAAGGCCAACAAAAATAAGGTGAGTAACTATGTTTTTTTTTGTATTTTTCACTACTTTTGTTGAAATAAGGCTTTGTGACGTTTACAGTAAAGAGTGGGGCACAGATAAGGAATCACACTCTTAATTACTTTCTTCACGCCATAGTTGGTTGCTGCATTTTAATGCGCTTAAATTAATATTCTGTTTACGGGCATGAGAAAAAGAACATACTCTTTTTCAATTTTTGCACATCAGACTGTATCAAAAAGGATTTGGAAAAATGATTCAAGTCTAATCTCAAGTGATTAAAAACACACAACCTCTGTGTCATTTTTTTATTCAGCTCAAATGAAGCCAAAATGGGAAAGCTGTGTGTGAAAAATGATTTCCAATCTGTGATCCAGCAGCTTGTAAACCCTCCTTTAGCAGCGGGAACTCTCAGTGGTGGTTTTAGGAATTCATCCACTTCACGTGGTTGTGGAGGAATTTTGGCCCACTCGTCTTTCCAACATTCCTTCAGTTCATTGAGGTTTATATATATA